GATGCTTGTTAGCCATCATGTAGGTGCTGGGAACCAAACTTGAGTCCTCTGCAAGAATATCCAGTGCTTTTAACTGCTGAGCCAGCTCTCCAGCTGCTTGAACTTATTTTCAATTCCATAGTTTCTTTAAGAAACTCATAGAATTTTCTCTCTTATGCAATCCTTTCTTTGTTTTCTAGAGTAATTTAGGGCAGAATTTAAGAGTGTGAAGGGTAGAGCTAGTCTTTTTAAATTTAATTTCTACCCTCTAGCTATGAGACTTTAGGCCTGATACAAATTTCTTGTCTTAGTTTAAGCATGGGAGAAGTTGGGCTACGAAGAACTCTAATTTGAAAGGGTGAGTTCATATATACATATACACATACAAATACACACACACACACACGTGACTGTTAGTGTAATGCCTGTGACTAAATGCCAGTCTCTCTGGAATGCAAGCAAGGATCTTTGTTTCTTATGCTTGCTTCAGTATAACCATCCCTGCTCTGTCCTAATACATTGCTCAACTAGACTAGCTCCTGACACTTGTAGAATTAATCAGTTTATCCCTTCTTTTCTGTTTCAGTCATATTTACCTTAGTATTTCCCCCGTTCAAGCCTTGCTTCTTTCTTTCCTCTGTGAGATGCCTTTGTTTCCACTTGTGAATTCTTCCTCTCTCAGTTTTCCATCATCTATAGCTGATGTGCTCGTTCCTGTTTGGGTTAGGGGTTTTTAAGCAGAGTAAGGCATCACGAATCCAATATTTGTTAATATGTTTTAACCATGGGCTTACCTGATCAAAGTGAAAATAAAGTGGCATTTTCAATATAACATGTTGAATACAGTTTGTGGTAACTTCTCTTCTGGTCCCTTGTCTGACCTGTCACTTAATCTGCACTTTTAACAAATACACTATTTGGATGCAAAAATAAAACCATTTAAATGATTGTATCTATATTTTATCAAATTGGATGTCTTCCTCTTTTTCTTCCTCTCTCTCTCTCTTTCTCTCTTTCTCTCTCTCCACACACACACACACACACACACACACACACACACCCACACACACACCAGTGTATATACATTTGTCATTAGGAACCATTTGCTATCAAGTTGCAGAAATAAGATTTATTATATCAAAAGTATTTTAAAATTAATCCATAATGGGGCTGGAGAGATGGCTCAGTGGTTAAGAGCACAAACTATTCTTACAGAGGACCCGGGTTCGATTCCCAGCACCCATATGGCAGCTAACAACTGTCCATAACTCCAGTTCCAGGGGCATCCAATATCTTCTTCTGACTTTGTGGGTATTGCACGACACTGGTGTACTTACATTTGGCCAATATACTCATACACATAAAATAAAACATAATACTGAAATATCTTTTAAAACTAAAAAAATAAACTTGTTATATGGCTCAGGATGACCTTGAACTCATGATCCTCCTGCTCTACCTCCATAGCACTAGGATTACAGGCATGCCACACAACTGCAGGCTCTTACTTTGTATTCTTGATGTCTTAGCAAATTTTCACACATTGACTATTTTTCATGTTGGAATTTTTCTTTCTGTAACAATCATCTCATGGCATCTAATTTTCTTCCTCTCCCATTCCGGGGTCTTCTTCACTAACCTTGAATGATGTGATCGATTCACGGTCCGCTTCTACATAATTTTAGCCAAACCCATGGCTTGTGTTACCACCTGCATCCTGATGACTCTTGACTATATATCTAGATCCTGGACTTCTCTAAGCTTAAGACTGAAATATTAACTTGATCTCTCAGTTTGCTGCTTCAAACCTTCAATATTCAACATTCTAAGACTGAACGCACATTGTTCCTGCTCTCAACTGTCCCAGAGCCAGCCACTATTTCTGAACAATGTCTGAACAATTACTAGATACAAGTTTCACAGTGCAGAGGACTGGGGGTGGGGGTTCATACTTGATATTTGACACCGTATCGGACAGCCTCTAATAGCTCAGCTGTCTACTTTTCATTGTTATATTTGCCAGCATTCAGATCCAAGTTACTGCTGTCTTTTGTTTGCTGTATAGCCTCCCAGTTAATAATCACAGATTAATACTCTGCTTAACTCATTGATTTATATTATTTCTATCACATTGAAATACTTTAAGTGAAAATAAAGCCCTACACACTGTTTCTCTCTCTCTCTCTCTCTCTCTCTCTCTCTCTCTCTCTCTCTCTCTCTCTCCCACCCAGACATATATCTATATATATATTAAAAAAATTTAAGGCAGACAGAAAAGAATAACAAAAAATCAGGAACGGGGGGATATATCTTTTACTAGATATTTCTCTATATATTTATTAAAACTATTTGAGGCAGAGTTGAAAGTTTAACAACTGATCAGGTACGGTGGCATATGCCTTTAATCCTAGCACTTGGGAGGCAGAGGCAGGAGGATCTCTGGGAGTTAGAGGCCAGCCTGGTCTACATAGCAAGTTCCAGGCCAGTGAGTTCCAGATCAAAAAAAAAAAAAAAAAAAAAAAAAAAAAATATGATTTAAAAAAAAATTTTTCAAAATTTGGGGTCCACTGGAGTGGAGGTGGAGGTGAAAAATTCTGTAAGTTTTGAGATAAAGGAATCACCTTTAAAAAGTTGCAAATTAAATCAAATAGGAGAGGAGGAAGATTTGCTCCAGAAGGAGCCACCAGCAGAATCATCACAGTTTCTATACATGGGAAAAGAGAACCATCTCTTGTTGAGATTATCTTTTTCCTGGTCTAAAGGATGAACAAAGAACATAAACAGCCCAAGTCTTGGATGACAACATCACATCCTTTCTTCTACAACCCAGCTGTCCACATTGGCATATGGTCATCTTCATTTTCCTAACAAAACTGCTCCTAAGCTTTTAAAAATACAGCCGCTAACAGTGCCATGCAAATTGTATAGTTTGTTTGGAATCCAGCAAATTCAGGTTATGGTCACGACTTTACTACTTAAAGCCTGCACAACTTTGGATGAATTGTAGCATCACTGACTTAGAACTTTCACAATAAGACAACACTGCATCTGTCATAAAGATTATATTAATGTACATATAGTTTGACACAATTATCAGTATTTTGTTAAATGCTCAAAAAGCAGGTGAATTACCATTAGGAAGAAAATAAAGCTATAGCAATAGCACCAGAATGAGGCAGGAGCTACCCAGGCTGAGTCAAGGCTAAAGATGCTGAGCTTCCCAAGGGAAGAAATTAGACCACATTCTCCCAAGAGTTTTATGGACTTCTGTTACTTGGTATTCTTGCCTCCGGTACCTAGGACAAGTTTCTAGGTAACCACCGGCTAAGGATGACCTAAGCATAATTTAACCCTCAAGAAATCTTACTTATTATTGCATTTGCTGTATATCCATCAACTGCTTTGTTTTCTTTCCTTAGAATAAATAGCAGAACTTTGGATTTCCCCTTATTTTTGTGGCTAAGAATTTTTTTTTTGTCTTTTGTATTTTTGAGACAGGGTCTTCCTGTAGCCCCAGCTGGTCAGGAACTTGCTATGGAGACCAGGTTGGCCTCGGTCTAACAGAGATCCACCTGCCTCTGCCTTCCAAGGGCCTCCCAAGGCATGTGCAACCACAACTGACTGTGGTTAAGATTTTTAAACCTCCATGGGGGATAAGCAATAATTTCTATATGTCTAAGTCAACTTTATTGAGTCTAGTCAAATCCATGTGTTTATGTTTGCTTTGACTATAACTGGAGGTCAGAAACTGTGATATTTATTGCTTCCTTTATGGTCCTTGAAAATATATATACCTAGACAAATGGAAATCAAATTTAAAATAATGACAACAGGGCCAGGGAGACGCTCAGCAGGTAAAGGTGCTCGTCACAAAGCCTGAGTTTATTCCCACATACTAGAAGGAGAAAACCCACTCCCACAAGTTGTCCTCTGACCTCTGTGCCCATGCTGTGGCACACACGTGCCCCCTCCTACATACAAACACAAACACAAAACAAATAAATGTAATAAAAATAAAATGAAGATAGAATAAGATTATTAATTTAATTAAGCAATGAAATAAAAAGTATAGAGTTTTAGTTTTCCTTCTAGCACTGTTCAAACAGAATATAATCTTGAAGCATTTATTTCTCCTGGATCTTAAGTTCTTCTGTCATAAAAAGTTTATTATGATACAAAGAATCTATGCATATAGAATATGTCTGGGCTTACATGGAAGTTTTATATCTTCATATACATCTATATGTGAATTTCAGTTTTTTCATGAAAGAGCAGATTCTAATCAGGGGGCTGGAATAGGTTATGGGTAGTTCTATGCTGACAAGTTCAGGCACTTAAAATGTCCCTATCTTCATCCATCCAGGGCAACTGCGAACATAGAACTCGTAAATGGAAGTCCTCGGGCCCTGCCAGATGCTCACTGAATCAGGCACTGTGGAGGGAGGCCTACCATGGCTCTGCTGCAGCCCTACCCCTGACAAATGCAAACCTCTGAGAACCACCACTTGTGAACATTCCCAAGGAAGAGCTACAGCTTCCAGTCACAGTCAGAAGCAGTGTGCCAGTCATCAAAGGGGAAAAGGCCAGATCCTCTATGGAGACTTTGGATCAGAGGTCGGTCAGAGGTCCAGCCAGGAGCAGAGGATTGTAAAGCAGGAGGGGTTGGGATGTTAGGAGAATATGGAGCAGAAACCTGGTCCCTGGATAAATCACTCATTCTCATGCAGTCATTTCTAGCAGCAAGTCAAGAACAGCTGGCTCTACAGACATCTTCCTACCGTGAGTCCTTACAGAGGATGCACATCCTCCGTTCTGAGCCACAGTTACCCCATCCCCAGCCACTTGATGAAAGAAATCTGATGGGAACAGTTTATCAGGATGATTCTGAATGGTTTCTTTTTTTTCCAGGCCTTTTTCGACAACACCAGATTCGGTTGATTCTAGGTTTAATTCTCATCTCCCTGATAGCTAAGAGCGGGTGTGCTCTGGGAAAGCTCGTCGTTTCTTGGAGTTTCTCTGAACTAAAGGCGAGCCTGCCCAGAGAAAGGCGTGAGAATTAGCCTGTGGAAACGGCAGGGCAAGAACTCAGCATCGACACTCTTCAGGAGGTTTATAGAAGCCGTGTTGTCGTCCAGGACATTTCCCTGAGAGGGGAATCCCCGGCTTTGCAGCTTCCTGGCCAGGGTGAGGGCCACCAGACGGCTATAACCTTTCCTGCGGTGCTCAGGCAGGGTGTAGCCATGGCACATGGTGGCAAACTGGTCAGTGATGCCCCAGGACACGGGGTTTCCCTTGTCATCACGGACACACACGCTGGGGAAGCAGGCAATGAGGTTGGCTATGTACCGCAGACACTGTTTGTTGCCACCCCGGGACCAAGTCCGGTTGAGGAGGTCAGCATCCGAAACACTCAGGTAGGTGAGTCGTGGGGGAGACCCTGTTCTGGAAGGAAAGAAGAGGAGAAAAAGAATGAGCTCAGAGTCATGAAACTATAAAGAATGGCCATTTAGGGGCTGGAAAGAGGGCTCAGTGGCTAAGAGCACTAGCCTGCTCTTGCAGAGAACTCGGGTTTGGTTCTCAGCACCCACATGGTGCCTAACAACCATCTGTAACTTCAGTTCCAGGGGATCTGACGCCCTCTTCTGACCCCAAGGGCATTGCACGACATGAGTGCACTTACACGCAGGCAGGCAATACACTCATATATATATATATATATATATAAAAGAAATGCCCTTTCATGCATATTTAAAATGAAAAGCCATCTCTGAGATCATGCCTGAAGTTAGAACCCAACCACTTCCCACTCCACAAGCAATTTTGCAGTTTCATGTCTGAAAAGATAGAATTACTATTATGCCATATTTAAGTATTTCCTTCCAGGTTTACTGTTTTTGTCTGCAGTACAAGGCATGGCCACAGGCTGCCTCCACACCTTTAGTCTCTGTGAGAGAGAGGAACAGCAACTTAAATTCGATTTCAATTGCTTAATTATTAGTTCCAGTGGATAACAGACAGCTGGGTTTTAGCCAATTACAAGCAGCCAACTGACCAGAATCCCAAACCAGGTAGATGCTCTTGCATCTGTTCTGTGCGGTTCCCTGTTACACTGCTGGGTAGTCTCTGAATCTATTTAGATTTTGAATGCTGACAAATTCATGGATCATTCTTTATTTTATTATTTTTTTATTTTATGTTTATGAGTGTATTGCCTGCATGTAAGTGAGTACACCCGTGTCGAGCAGTGCCGCAGAGGTTAGAAGAGGGCTTCGGATTCCCCTGGAACTGGAGTTAAGGGCAGTTCATAGCCTCCATGTGGGTACTGGGAATTGAACCCGGGTCCTCTGCAAGAGCAGTCAGTGCTCTTAACTGCTGAGCCACCTCTCCAGCCCCTCATGAATCATTCTTTATGCAATAAGCTTTGCTAGAGTTAACTTAGCTATTTATTTTCTTTTAACACTGTCATTATAAAGATTTTATTTTATTTTTAATTATGTATGTGTTTGTGTGTGGTTAGTGCATGTGAGTACAGGAGTCTGCAGAAGTCAGAGGTATTCGAGTCCCTGGAGCTGGTGTTATAGGCCATTGTGGGAACTGGGAACTGAACCCAGAGCTAAGCCAACTCACCAGCCCCATTTTTCTTTTAATACATTTCTTTTTTTTCTTTTCTTTTTTTTTGGTCAGAGCTTCTCCTAAATCCCAAGTCTGGTAAAACTTTCTGTGATGCTTTAAGCAAGTCCATATTTTTGAGTATTAACATTTTCTGGAGTAAAATAGATATTAAAGCATTTAGGATACTTCTCCCTTTACCTAGCTATGACTAGAAAATAAATATGTTGCTAGGCATTATCACATGCTCTGGAAACATTAGCTCTCCCAGCCCTTCCCTTTGGTTGCTCCTCTCTGTATTAGTCACTAGCCTTTACTATGTTTTCTAACAGCATAAAAATTTCTAATAATTTTCTATATAAAAGCTGTGATATTAAATAAATTGACCAGCCCATTTTAAGGTCTGAAATAAGTTACAGCTTATGAGGCTGATCTGGCTTTGGAATTTACTTTTGTTGTGAGTTTATTAAATCATAAAAAATCATAAAATCATATCCAGTGAATGGTAAAGACTCATAATGTAGTTCCTTGTATGGTTTTATAATTTTATATAATTCTGTGTTGTGTTTTTCTTAGTGGCTGTGCAGTGTTAGGTCACATTCTAGGGATACCGTCTGGACATATGTCAGCTACATATACATATATACCTATATTGTCAGTTAAGCATTGGTCAAACTTCTAGCCACTAAGGAAGGGGTAAAACCACATAGGATTTTCAGTTCAATTTTAAAAATGTACTTCAGATAGGAAAGAGAACCTCAATCAGGAATGTTACTACAAACAAAACAAAACTGAAATAGAACCAAATCAAAACAAAAACATTGCCCAGGCTAGTATTTCAGGCATAGTTATATTACAGATTTGTACCTGAAGGACCGAGTATTTGAGAGTTGACAATTTGAGAGATGACTCAGATGTTAAAAACAAAATGTCACTTCTAGAAGAAAGCATGGGGGGAGAGAGCCCCACGACACTGGTAGCTCTGGCTGGCCTGGAACTCGCTCTATAGACCAGGCTAGCTTCAGATTCACAGAGCTTTATCTGTGTCTGTCTCCTGAGTGTGGGAATTAAAGGCATGTGCCACTATGCATGACTGGGCAGGGTTATTTTTGATAGGAAGACATAAGGATGGAAAACAAAAGCAAAAATGGGATTACATAAAACTAAAGGACTTCTGCACAGAGAAACAGAAAAAGAATCATCCTGAAGAATGGATGAAAACACTGGCAAATTATACTTTGATAAGGGTCCAGTATCCAGAATACAAAAAATGAAAGAAAGTAACAATGAAATCAAATGACCCAATTTAGTGATGTAGACCTATAGAGACAGTAAGGTATATGATTACAGCAGGATCTAGCAATCAGATTCCTGGGAACACATCCAGAAGGAATAAAATCATATGTAGACATCTGCACTCCTGTATCAATTGCAGCACTATTTACAACAGGCAAGAAATAGTCTACAAACTAATGAAAGAATAAGGAAAATGTGATATTTGCACAATGAAATATCACTCAGCCTGAAAAAGGAATTAAATCGTAACAGCTGCAAAAAAACACGGATGGAACTGCCTGGCATTACATTAATCAAAATAGTCCAGGCACAGAAAAACAAAACCACATGATCTCACTCGTGAAGAATCTCAACCCATATTCTCTTGAAAGAAAAGGGTTGAAGCTTAGCTGGGGAGGCAGGACAATTGCTTCTGATTTCTTTTGGTGGTTGGAGAGATGGCTCAGTGATTAAGAACACTGGCTATTCTTACAGAAGACCCAGATTCAAATCCCAGTACCCACACGGCAGGTAACAGCTGTTCATAACTCCAGTTCCAGGGGATCCGACGTCCTCTTCCGTCCTCCACGGGCATTGCGTGACACAAGTGCACTTACATACATGCAGGCAATACAAGCATATACATAAAATAAACTAAAATATTTTTTAAAAAAGAATCTTTATCTTTTAGACGTATACCTTAAAATAGTCAGGGATTAAGGGTAAGATTTATGACAGTCTGTGTGAAATAATCCAGCAGATGTGAGAAGTGCACAGGGTGGATACTGAAGATTATTCATGTGTTGATGGGAAGTATTTTAATATTATCCTTTCAACCTTTATGTTTTTCAAGTTTTCATATTAAAAAGAACAACAAAGGAAAGTTCCAGTGCTTTTCTAGGGTTTTAGGGTTAGTCTTATATTAAACAGTTCTGACTAGAGAAGCAAAAACAAAACAAAAATATTCAGAGGTGGCATTTTTCTCAAAGTACTTTTTTCACTCTTTTTTTTTTTTTTTTTTTTTTTTTTTTTTTTTTTTTAAG